GGAGGTTCAACCTGAGCTTCTCTTGAGTGTCAATACTGGTTTTGAATAGCTGGAGGGTGAGTAGACACATAGTAAGGTACGACACTTACCCTCCAGGTATTCAAAAACATCATTTACACACAAGAGAAGCTCAGATTGAACCTTCGCTCATTGTATGTGAGTGCGAGTAAGCTTTTAGAATACAGGCGTAAATATAGGAAAATGCTCTGGAAGTGAATCCCACGCTACCTCCCCATAGGAGTTGGAACCTTTCCAATTCTCCAGCTCTTGCCGGGTTGTGTAAGTGGGGAATAAATTGTTACTTCTCCCAAATAATTTAAACAACATGGGAAGTTTATTCGCGAAGCAGTAAAGTGAATAATGCTGGATATAATAAATATAATGCTATAATGCTGAATATAATAAATATAATGCTGAATATAATAAATATAATGCTATAATGATGCTATAATGCTGGATTCTAGCTCTTTATACTGAAGGTTATCTGAAGATGCCCACTATACAAAAAGTAAGTTCAAAACCCTACTCGTAATCAACAGGTTGTGCGTATGCCTGATCACAAATTAGTAATGCATCTCTAAAATGCAGAGTTATACACCATACAATCTGTTAAAGTTACTCCTGGTATTTTGTTGCTTTTGAATTTTTGCAATGTTATGCCTTTCCAAATTCTGAAAACATTTTAAAACTTTCAAAAAGCAACGACGAGTTGTATGATTCCACAATGACATGATAGATGATGATCGGGATGCCCGGCAAATCTTAAAGCTAGCCACAAAATAAAAGACTTTGTTACCTCACCGTACACATGTCTTTTGTCTTAACTTTACTAAATATTGTTCATTGTAGTTCACGTTTTATCTCAGCTATCCCTGTTGGATGATTATTTAATCATACAAAAAGACAATGAGCTCAATCACGGTAATCGAGCACAAGTTAACACATAATCAGACAAAAGCATTACCAATCAATTCTGTTCAGTTTCCATACCTTCATATTTTGATAGACTATACTATATTAAGTAGAAAAGCAAAAGTTGCTATAGGACACATACGTCAGACCAGAGTGACGATTAACTTGATGCCGTTGTTACCTATATACTGATTTGTGTAATTGTTTCTTTTCTTTACACACGCGTGCATGAACCTCTTCGAATTTAGTATTCAGGAATATATCGAGCTATCACCAGGTGATAGTTGGCCGTATAATTTCCAGGCTTAAAGTTCTTTACAAAGAATTTATATAAAATCAATCGCTCTGCGTTCCCTGCATATATAGTACAGTATGTAGTATAAATTAATATTAAGTCGATCCCTTTTTTATGCAACACAACTGAAGAATTTTTAAATTGCCTTGATAAAGCAACGACAAATTCAGAAAAAGAGTATCCTTAAATAAGCTGTCCTCTAAAAAATATAATATAAGGTGACATATCCAAGCATTTCCAGCCGATAACTTGATGAGTTGAGAGGGAACTTTTTTTGGAGTACAGTATGTTTATTTTATGCTTTATTTCAAGGTGACATAGATTTGACAAGAGCTTTGTTTCGTTTGATACAGGCCGTCATTGTTACCACAACAGTGAACATATTGCGACAACTCACTTTCGAACCACTTGGTCAGGGAGAAAATGCTAAACATGAACAGCGAAAGTGTCTTCAAGCCATCGATGACATCAATATCGCACCGTCCACCAAGATCTTCCTGCAAACCCAAAGACGATTCTGGGAGGACGCAGATTACAATATCCAAGGTGGCTTTTCCAAGACCAACCTCCCTATCGGCCAAATACATTACGTCAAGCCGGACCCAGAATATGTCGAGTGCACGAATCAAGGAATAATTATGGTTTACGTTTGGAACAATGATGCACTGATTTTTGGTTCCATGAGGCCTGATCAAGTCAAACAGGAGGCAATTGAACAAATAGCAGAAGTCCACCCAGAAATCATGCAGAAAAATATGGTTGAAAAGTCTATCGTCCATGCTTGGTACAACCAGCCCTCCTACCAAGGTGCCTTTGGCTTTATGAAGACCAGTCAGTTTAACAATATCAGGTATGAATCAGAGGAGAATTGTAATTCCTAATGCTTGTGAGATGAAATGATGGGATGAATCTAACTATCATTTCATTAACTATAGTTTCATTGTTATAGTTATGAATGTAGGTCAAACATATATAGTGGTTTGGACACTAATTAATAAATGATACTGGCTGCAGTAGCCTACGGGTTTGGCGAGCAAATAATGAAAGTTTGTTATAGAGTCTTTCTTTGTTTAGACAATAGTACTTTCGGGTAGGCTTAACATACACATTTTATATCTATAATTTTCAGGTCTAGTGCGTTGAGTATCGTCCATTAACAATAATTTGGACTTCTAAAAAATATCATTTTTATACCAGAGACAACAATAGACAACTTATTGATCGAGTTTGTGCGATTAGAGAGACAATATTCGCGCTAAATAATATATTATACATGTATAATTTATTCATCTATATTTATTTTTATTTTTTGCTAATTTAGAACTTTGTGGGAACCCATGGGTAACGTACATTTCGCCGGAGAAACTTTATCATTTGCCGCTGGTTGGATTCAAGGAGCCTTGGAGAGTGGCGTCAAAGCCGCATATCAAGTTTATGCCCGTAGCAAGAAGAGAACAACCGGAAAAAGGAAATAATTGACATACAAGATATGAGATACATTATAGTCGATACAGTGTGGTAGTAAAGACAAGGAGACCTCATATATAAATATCGAGTGAGGCCTCTTTATGCAGATTTAGAATGTTCTATTTTTTTAAGGTAATCATTACAAATGCAGCATATCATTTAGCTTAATAAGAATTGTATCATGTTTTTCTTTAATAAGGAAAGACTGGGTGAGTCTCGTATACAAGAGGGTAGAGAATTTCAAATCTTAGGGCCTTGGTAAACTATTGTGCAGGGTTTGTAGGTTTGCTGAATAATTAGGCCAAACACAGTCACACTAGGCCTTTGTTTTCTTTGTCTTGGCCTTTTGTTTTCTTAATTGTTTTCCAAACGGCACTGATGACGATTTGGCCTAATTATTCATCTAAGTTACCAACCCTAGACTATTATTAATTGTTTTAGATTAGTGGGACAAGAATGGGAACGATAGTTATTTGGTGATCTAGTCTTATAATTGTGTACTTGGTTGTGTCTACTTTGATGGACTTCAAATTTTGACAGTCCTGGAATCCAAAAACTAAATGAGTACTTTTTGCACGATTAAGTAACTTTTAGAATTTGCACTAAACTTTGTACTTTGATTCAATTACTAATTAAATAATTTTAATGTGACTATTTTGCTTTTGATTGTACTTTGAAGCACACTGTCAATAAGACATTGAGTTTGTCTTATTTGAAAGAATGCCTAATATTGTGTATGATTTGTATGATTTTACATATCAAGCTTGCCTATGCAGGGTGTCTAAAATAAAAAAAAAAACGCAATGAAAATTCAACAGGCTGTCGTGCATCATAAACGTGGCTAAACAATTCAATTTTTACATAAGGCGAAAGAAAATTTATTTAGCTTTTCAATGATCCTCTTTTTAAATCGCAACGATGAGAAATGGCCACATACTCCTCAAATAGAAACTGCCGGTCAAAATTATATTCTTCCACAGTTGGGAATTGCATTGGAAACGAAACATAGACAATTCATAAAAGGAAATTAAAATTGAATGGTAAATGATCTAAAAATGAGCTAAACTCGTCAATCGTCGTCTTAGCGAGACAATAATAACGTCCAAACTCTTTCTCGTTTAACCGGTTTCGAATTAGATTATGATTCAATTTATCTAATGTAAATATCTTGGCGTGTATTTATCCTTCCCCCCCCCCCAACCCCCGCCTTTTAAACGAAAGCCAAAATTGAAATCCTTACCGCAAAATAACCTTTCAAACGGGAGGGGGATCAACTGCCGTCGAAACATTACACAAACCGAAACAATCATATATTTATACTCACTGCTTGGCCAAACATTCTGTATTTCATATCGAGAAATGTTGAATATCTTTTAAATTTTCGTCGTTTAATTTCTAAAAGGCTATATGAGTAAAATACTCTCGTATTCAAGTGCTTTCGTGTACAAAGTTTCGTTTGAATACGGCGAGTAGAAATACTTATTTTGAATTTTTCAAGATATCGGGTTTTACACGCACGCGCGTGTCACGCGCTATATTTGGCCAATATATAAGAAGTTCCTGTAGCCGGGATGACGTCAAACTCACGCGTATACCTAGCTGTAGGTGCACTTTGACCTGCAGAACCATTTCTGGCGTTTGCAGAGTCATACGATACAAACGTCGCATTATTTTGACGTTTTCAAGTCGTATTTCCGGTTGGGATTAGCTCTCTTCGAGCTCACAGTCAGACCAGAAATGGAAATACCGTGATAAAAGATGCAAATTTGAAGATACAGACTTGCAAATAACACAAAGACTATTACAAAGACGATATAGTCGAAGCGGCCGAAGTCATTTTCGGCGAAAGCTATGGCTAGGCTATATTTTTGTTCTGACGATTACGTAATTTGATAGTATATGATCTCGTTTGACTTTCAAAGGCAGAAACATGTTCGCATTTGGTGGGTACTTACTCTAGTAACAGGTCTTTGTCCTAGAGTTCTGGGGCACATAAGAAATTAAAAATTGTATACGCTTCAACAAGGTAACAACAAAAAATGCTACCTGAGTTTTTGACGTTTTCTCTCTAAAATATTTGAGTATGAATCCTTTGGATCGTTGAAGGTAACATAAGTCTTGAAAATCTTTGATTAACTCAAGTCAATATATCTTCCGTACGAAATTACAAACAAAAAGCCAAAAACAACAGCTCGCGAACGCCAATATGTTTCAAAGCGTGGTGTCCACGCGTCACGCGTGAGCGTGGTATACTATAACACCCCACGGTAGATCTACCGTGGGATATTATAGTATCTCTCGCTGCATTGCGAAATCATGAATTTGAGCGAAATACCGTAAAAAGTCACTTTGTCACGTGGTACAAATGTTTTTTAATTGGACAATTTGAATTTGAGGTATAATATTGTAACTATTTTCAAAAAAACATTGTTGTCTTTCATGTATGTCAAGATTTTCGACTTTGTTTGATATGGGAGGGTGACTTAAATAACGCCACACTGCATAATGAGTTTTTAGAAAGAAAACGTTTCCGTGTTAAACATGTGATAATTCTACTGACATTGAAAGTTATATACTTTAAGAAGTATCACAGTATTATTTCGTCTGCAAATTTGAGTTAATGATAATTTTATCGAGCTAAAAAGAGTCTTCCTTAAGGTAAATTATGCAGCGTGACGTCATATAAGTCATATTTGCATGCCAAACAAAGTCCACTATCTTGATATACAGGAAAGATAACAAATTAAAGTTTAAGAAAAATAGTCACATAATAATTTTAAATGAACTTTGCAATTCAACCATAAGAAAATTCTCGCATAGGCACTTTAAGTTTCAAAACCTTTTTTTCTAATGTTTAGAAAGCTCATGAATTTTTCTGTGTTGGTGTAATGCAGTCACTGGTGAATATGATACTTCTGATGTTACTCTGAGTGTATATCCACACCGGGCAAGCTTGAAAAATATGCCTGACCACGGTGGAAATCGAACTTACGACCTTTGGAATACTAGCCCAATCCTCTACCAACTGAACTACGCGGTCTGGTCGGTTCGAGTATGTGATATTTAGGAACAGAATCTAGTTCCTTCGATATCAATGTTATCTAATAATAATCATGAATTTTTCTGTGTTGGTGTAATGTACTCAGGTGAATATGATGCTTGTGATGTTACTCTGAGTGTATATCTACACCGGGAAAGCTTGAAAAATATGTCTGACCACGGTTGGAATCGAACCTTCGACCTTTGGAATACTAGCCCAAGAAAGCTTATTAATAAGGTCTGCTTGTAAGAGTATATCTTTACGTTTTCTTTTTGTCCTTAATTAAAGCGTTCTCATGTGAAATCTTTCTCATATACATAAGAATGGGAAATAAAACAAGGAATTGACAAAAAGTTATTTCTCTATTTTGATTTGCTCAAATACCAACGCATTTTCGATCGTTTTATGAACAAAAGTCATCACCGAAATTTGTCTATTTATGCTTGCCAGATTAATAGATTCTCGGCAGAGTACAAGATGTTATGGCAAATTATTAATAATCCACGAGCCGACGTCATGGGTATTTAAAATTCGATTTAACGCCAACTGCAGATGATCAACAACGACTTTAAGAGAAGATTCTGCCATAGTTAAATATGGACGCAAGCAGGCTAACATCAACCACCTCTTGTATATACAATGTACTGTAGGACGCCGAACAGCAAAGGCAAGAGACCATTAAAGCAAGACAACCTAGTGCTGCAGCGTCTCATGAGACGTTACGATTATGCACGACTACATCAGCTTTGCTGTAATTTCTATCGTGTGAAAATAAATGTTTTGATTGATTGATTGATTGACTGATTGATTGATTGATTGGTACCGACGACGGATTATGTTCCAGCGCCAAGAAAACAAAATGGAGTAATTTTCAGGGTAAAAAAGTGGGAAATTTGACAAAAAAAACTAAAAGAAGAGACAATGACAAGTTAATTACCAGAAGTGTTACACATAATTTATGACGGAAGTGAAAGACTGGTGTGTGCCATAATTTCATGAACAAATATGAAATACTCAAGTGAAATATGGGAAAAACCCAAGCAGCACAGATTTAAATAGCTGTTCAATGGTAATTATAGAAGGCTAGGTCGTAAAACGGTAAGATCATTATAATCCCTTCTGATTCGATCTATAACTTCATATTTTGAACCTCGCGTACTCGGTCAGTACGAAACATTGCTTTGTCAAACATACACAACAAGTTTAAAATTTTTTTTTTCTACGTTGGTGTAATGTACTCAGATGAATATGATGCTTGTAATATTACTCTGAGTGTATATATATCCACACCGGGAAAGCTTGAATTGAAAAATATGCCTGGCCACGGTAGAAATCGAACCTGCGACCTTAGAATGTATTCAGCTTGTATTTAGCGGTGTTAAGCTGGAGTTTATTGCACCTCTTCCAGTTTTATTATTTTTTTGTTGTTATCACTGGACAAAAATTTGAAATCCATAGAAGGTCATAGAATGGAAATTGTATGGACCTTTATTGGAAATAGATGATGTTATGACCGATTGGTCAAAGATTACCGCTGCGAACGAGGAGATTAGAGTCCCTATGCGAGAATATTTTATGATTGAATTGCAAAGTTCATTTAAAATTATTATGTAACCATTTTTCTAAAACTTTGCCATCTTTCCTGTATATCAAGATATTAGACTTTGTTTGGCATGCAAATATGACTTAAATGACGTCACGCTGCATAATTTACCTTAAAGAAGACACTTTTTAGCTCGATAAAATTATCATTAACTCAAATTTGCAGACGAAATAATACTGTGATACTTCTTAAAGTATATAACTTTCAATGTCAGTGGAATTATCACATGTTTGACACGGAAACGTTTTTTTTCTAAAAACTCATTATGCAGTGTGGCGTTATTTAAGTCACTCTCCCATATTAAACAAAGTCGAAAATCTTGACATACATGAAAGATAACAATGTTTTTGAAAATAGTTACAATATTATACCTCAAATTCAAATTGTCCAATTAAAAAACGTTTGTACCACGTGACAATACGTGTATTTTACAGAAGACTCTTTTTAGCTTGATAAAATTGTCATTAACTGAATATTGCAGACGAAATGTAGCTTTGATACTTCTTAAAGTAGGCTAAGATTATTTTAAATGATTATTTTTACACCATGGTATTGCAGGATCCAACTGCTGGTTGCCATTTTATAGGTCGAGTAAATCAATTGGCAGGGGAATAGATTTCTTTGTAGTCCGTCTTATATTTAAACCATCCTTCGAAAATCCTTTCCTCTTTTGTCTGATTCTTTTTGGAAATGTATAGAAAACAAGCTATTTCCATCAGTTTTTACAAGAGCGTAATTATGAGAACCCACCACACCATAGTGTCACATTAATCCCGTAAGTTTAAGAAATTAATGTATTTGTCAACATTCCATGGAATATGTACACTCCCTTACGTTCCTACGGTTTCAGCGATTCTCAGAGCATGCGACGTTTTAGTTGAATGTTAGCATCTTTTATTACTTGAATTTGAAAGGGAAAACTTATTAAAAACAAATTTGATAAAAAAGCATACCTACATTAATTTTCTGAAATTGAAGTCTACAAGTCCTAACTCTAAATAAACACAGAATTTCAGTTCCATCAAATTAATGTAGAAACTGTAGCCTTGGCTTTAATAAATTTAAAGACAAACAAATCTACTGCTCTGGATAAAACTCCAGCCAAAGTCCTCAAACTGTCTGCAGATATCATAGCTCCGTCACTGTCCTATATAATAATTTAATTTATCACTCGAAACAGGTATCTACGTTGACGACTGGAAACGGGCTGGAGGGAATCCAATTTATAAATTAGACGATTGACTAAAATGTGAAAATTATGGACCGATTTCTATACTGCCAATAGTAAGTAAGGTTTTTGAGAGAGAGGTTTTTAGACAAATTAATATTTTGTTTCTGATAATTTCTTACTCTCCAAGTTTCAATCGGGATTTCGACCTAAACACTCTACACTGTCCTCTTTGATACAAATGTGCGACAATTTACTTGAGAATATCGATAATGGCAAAATAAATTGCGTTGTGTTTCTTGATGTATGTAAGGCCTTTGATTGTATAAACCATGAAATACTATTAAAAAAGATGCTTAATTATTTTGGTATAACGGGAATTCCATTAAATTGGTTCCAATCTTATCTATCTAATAGAGACCAGCAATGTGAGTTTTGTAAACTGTCATGCAGTTATCGAGCCTGAGAAAGATAAAATGTGGGGTCCCGCAGGGGTCTATCTTGGGTCCTTTATTTTTCCTATTGTACATTAACGATATGCCTAACACCTTAAAATATTGAATTCCATCCCTCTACGCAGATGGCACAGAAATTTATCTATCTTCTAAAGATTGCGATGACATTGTTATTAAATAAACCTTGATCCTGAAAATATTCGAAAATGAATGCTAGGAAATAAGCTCCAAATTTATCCTACAAAATCGAAATATATGTTCATTGGAACAGCGTGAAATATTAAACATAAGGTATCTGGCGACTTTATTCTCGTTAATAACGTTCCAATACCTAGGGTTGAAAATTATATTTGCTTGGTGTCAACACTGATGGAAGATTGAACTGGGAAAAACATCTTGACATGATATGTTCAAAAGTCAGTGCGGGTATCGGGGCTATAAAACGTATTGTAGGCCCTTTTTATCGTCTGCGACACTTACAGTACTGCAGCCCTCTCTGGAACAACTGTGGAATACGCTTTAAGGACAGGTTGCAGAAATTTCGAAATCGGGCTGCAAGAGTAATTTCTGGTGCAACTTACGATGTTCGGTCGGTTGATTTACTCGAAATTGCTGGTTCGAAACACCCAGAACTAAGGCGAAATTATCAGAAAATCTGTTTTTATGTATAAAATTTTGAATAATCACAGTGTACCAAATCTAAGACAAGGACCGCGGAGCCTGTTTTGAAGTGGGGGTAGCAGGATAGCACGGGGGCCATTCCACGAAGGCAGGCTGTATTTTATCCGGTAATTTTTTATTATCCACCGAAAAAGTGCGGTGGGCATGGACCCCCGCCCCCTCCCTGTTCCGCAATCCCTGTTAAACAACATCCTTCTCATTGAATAATGAATGTGATAATATCTATTGATCTTAGGAGTAGAGAAACCGATTTGTCTCTTCCAGAACCGAATACCGATTTTGGTAAAAGATGCTGCAATTATATATGTAGTAGGAACGCTGTAGTATGGAATAATCTACCGTATGAGGTAAAAGTAGCGGAATCGTTTGAAGAACTATTAACCAGGCAAACACATATTGCCTACATAGTAATTCTTCCCTCTTTGTTTTTGTATTTTTGTATAATCTAGTGATGTTAGTATCTGTATATTCTTTCTAAATTCACGCCCCTCATGGAAATCAGGTCTGAGTTGTTGAGGCCGGCGTCCATAAATAAATTTTTGTATGTATGTATGTGTGTATGTATGTGTGTATGTATGTATGAGCTTCATCGCTCTGCCCCTTCGATTTCCACAAAATAATTAGAGTGTATCGGTTTAATCCATATTATAAATAAAAAAACGAAATAAAACCAGGGAAATGATTTAATTACGAAATCAATTAAAATACAAAGTATACAAATTCCAAAATTTAATTGTGCGTAACAAATTACAAAAATAGCTCATTAATGTTCGGAACTTATTCAGTTCCAAAACATGTCAATATCTGAAGCACTTCGTCATGTGCAGTTAATTATAATATGAAAATGATGTAATGTCAATTATATTTGTCTGTTTGAGGTACTCTCTTCTTATAACGTGCAAAAACCTGATATGCGGCTTTGAGGCCACTCTCCAAGGCACCTTGAATCCAACCAGAAGCAAATGATAAGGATTCTCCAGCGAAATGAACGTTACCCATTGGTTCCCACATATGTCTAATTAAAAATTAAAAATAAATATAGAGAAACCACAAATACAATATCTTATCATTAAATCAGTTGTCTTGCTGGCACAATTAAAGGAATAATGTTCAATGAAACTTTTTGCGTCCTACACAGATTTTAATTTCCATATCAGCGACCCGACGCTCTGCTTGTTGGGCTTGTCTCAGGGTGCTTATTTGGTAGGCGATGAAACGGCTATATGCGCGCAAACTTGCCTTAGCTTCGTTATCATAGCGGCGCTTTCATCTTTATTGTGTGGAAAAGTAAATACATCTGACCTGAATAATTTTAGTGTTTTTAGTTACGTTTTGATGTACACAACTAATATCGAGCGAAGTAAGTAGCAATATTGCATAACAGAGATAATATGATTCAACTAAGAAATAGAAATGCGTCTTGTTTCCTCCAATATATACTTCTTTCGAGGTACACCGTCGAGATCCATCATTCAAATATCAGACAATTGTGCCTTGTTTCTTACCTTATACTGTCAAATTGCGTAGTCTTCAAAAGTCCAAATGCACCTTGATAAGAGGGTTGGTTAGTCCAAGCATGAACGATACAAGTTTCAACCATATTTTCCTCCTTGATTTCCGGGTGGATTTTTGCGATTTGTTCAATTACTTCCTGTTTGACTTGATCTTCTGTCAAGGAACCAAAAATCAGTGCTTCATTCTGCCAGGTGTAAATCAGAATTATTCCTTCTTTCGTGGACTCGACATATTCCGGATCCGGCTTGACGTAATGTATTTGGCCGATAGGGAGGTTGGTCCTGGAAAAGCCACCTTGGATATTGTACTTTCTGTCTTCCCAGAATCTTCTTTTGGTTTGCAGGACGATCTTGGTGGATGGTACGGTATTGATGTCTTCGATGGCTTGGAGTTTCTTCCGCTGGGCATGCTTGGCATTTCTGTCGTCAACAAGCGGTTCAAAAGTGATTTCTCGCAATATGTTCACCGAAGTGGTAACAATTACAGCCTGTATTAATTAAAAGGGAACAAAACTCCAGTCAAGAAATATGATAGTTGAAGGGTCTTGTAGATAGAAATTATCGAATTGGGATTTATATACGTTAATTAGACCTACACAAGAACAGCAATCCACTGAACTATATAACATGGAAGGCTGACTCAAGCTCAAAAAGTGAAACCAAACATGACGGAAATTGAAGGCATTCTTGCGCGTCATTCTCAGTTCCCTTACGTGCGCGGTCAACTAAACTTTTATATTTTTCCGAGTATATTTCTTTATTTTCCGAGTAAAAACCGGATAAAAACAGACGGAATTCGAATGAAAAGTTGTATTCTGGTGTTTTGTTTGAGTTAAGTTCTAAATTTTAATTATTGTTTATTTGAAAGATGCGATAATAGCGCGGGATTGTTGTTTTTGTAAATGACAACAAAGAGTGACAAAACAAAACACAAATGTCACTCAATCTTTCAAATTATCTGTATTGCCCCTATTGACAAGGGTTTCACACGCATAAATAACTGATTAAAATAAAAAGTTTAAGTTTATAAGGCAATCATCAAAGTGATTTCATTAAAATAAAAAATAAAAAAACAAAATTTTCTTGCATGTATGAAATTAAATTGGCTAAAAACTGCCTCTAAAACTGCAGTAAAAAGCAGTTATAGGTCAGGAAAACGGACTAAAATAAGCTAAATAATGGTGTGAAAACTGAAAAGCACAATGAGAAACAAGAAAGCGAAACAACCAAAGCAAAAATAAATTCCCAATTTATAAAATACAGATTTATTCAAAAAAACAAAAAAGTTTGAAATTAGTTGTTGAATTCGCAACGAAAAATACAGACTTACTCACACATACAGTGGGAAAATGTAGTAGACAGATCGATTAGATGAAGGAAATCAGGTTTACATGAAATAAATGAAGTTTATTTTCTTTTTTGCTCTTTTAAAATGAAGAAAAACACAACCCAAAATTCACGGACCCATCACTTCCCGCCATGAAAATATAAAAAATGTTTGGCCGCGCACGTAAGGGGACTGAGAATGATGCGCAAGAAAGACTTCAAAATCCCCCATCTTTGGCTTCACTTTTTGATTACGTCACTGACTGAAGTCAACCTTCCATATATGTATATAGTTCACTGCAGCAACCTCATATACCCATGGTCTTTCTTCTACGCTCCCCGCTGGAGGAAAGGACTGGTCCAGGCTGGTCACGTGTCTCCCTGATTTTGGGGGATTACATTGGAGCTAATGGAGGTGGATAATGCAAATGTGGCATTCAAGTTTCTAAACGAGTTCAAAATAATTTAATACAAGTAGTGTGAATAAAGCGACACAAAAGACTACCATGAAACATTTTTATTAGCATCTATTTTTTCATAAAATACGTCATAACGGTTATTCTAAGGGGTAAAAGTTGTTAATAAGGCTTGGCTTGACGTTTGGAATTGAACTCTTAGTATTGTCGATAGATATTCTTCTCGAAGCTTACTCACCGTACTTAACACTGCCTCGGGTTCAGTTTTATATCAACAAGGGCAGGGCCGTAACTAGACGCGAGGGTGGTGTTCATATTCATATATTCGTGTTCTGTCCTACTGATTTCTTTTGAAAGCAATTCTTTTCACGGCATGTTAACATGAATACATGAATATGCACCCCTCTCCCCAATTATCGCGTCTAGTTACCGCCCTGAACAAAGGAAGGTAGAATCTTGCAGAATATTGCTGTCGAGTGGTGTTTTTGGGATAACATTTATTTAGCCAGAATCATGATTGAATTTTACTTTATATTTATGAGCTAGCGACTAAATAACCGCTGATGGCGAAATTTAATACTGTGCGGTCAATTTTCCAATTTTGCAGGTCTACAGGTACCTAACTTGCGAAACCAACTGTTTTGACATGGTCTATAGCTTTGCAGGATGTGAACATTTCGCCCCCATATTCACCCCGGCATTGCTAGTAGTATAGGAACTGCCGAAGCGAGACCACTTTTATTTTTTGAAAGCGGTTTTCAACGACTAAAAATGGTCTCACTCAGGCTGTTCCGTAGCAAATTTTGATGACCAAATTTTGATCAAAAGTACAGCGAAACTGCTGTTCTAGAGCCATTCTGAGACGTTTTTCGTAATACTTGCTTTGGGAGCTTCGGGATCGCTTTAGTGGTCACGGGGCTCCAGCTGGACACAGATTTAACCATTCTCTGTGTGATCTCGAACTTTACCAATATTATAAGATTTCCAGATTCTAGTACACTTTTGACAATTCTTAAACTACCCTTGTGTAAACACACGCCAGGGTTTAGAATTATTTCAATTACTATTTGAGACTACTACTTCACACCCTACATATACCCTACAGTTAACATTTTCAGCATTCCTGCTGAACTAGGCAAAACTGGCAATCTTCTTTTACAAAACTCACCTTTCACTTCTTAAGACTCAGATTAGACTTTTCCCTATTCTGGAGCCTCTTCACCAACTTTCAGACTTACCCTGTGTGAACACACAGTGGGGTGTAATTTTATTTTGTTTGTTATTTGAGACTACTACTTCATACTCTACGGAAACCTTTCAGTCACTATTTGTTATGTTTTTGTTTCCGTAAGCATAACTGGTTACTCCATCTTCCAAAAGATATCTTTTATCATCAAAGCAACTTAGAGTAACCTTCCTCATTTCGTAAGTTCCAATTGTGTGCTTTGTGCTCCTGATTGTATTCATGTTGTGTCTCATTCTACCCTTTGTGCTGATTACGTTCTTGAAGTTCTTGTGGGTTAGGTTGTTTCTAATCACATACTTCTTAACACCCTTAGCGGTCATTCCACCCCCACCGTTTTCCTTGATGTATGAGTACATCTTTGACCTCAACCCAACAAACTAAATTATGGGTACTCCACCAGCTTCATCCTTAAACTTACCTATAACTTTTTTGTTATGAGCTGAGTAGTAGGGGCTATCTTTTGGGTAGTCCGAATTATCCCAGCAGTCTTACTCTTCACCAATCCTCTTGAAGTCCTCATACACATCATCCGTCTTCAGCTCGTACATTAGACTATCCGTATCAGTAAACAGTAGTTTTGACCTGTCACCGTATTCCTTCTTGATTGTGTTGTAATGGAAATCATACATTAGAGTTTTAGATAAGTCAAGTATGCACATTCCCACATAGCACGGTTTATTCAAAGTTAGCACTTCCTTCATCCGCTTTACCACGATTAGATTCTCATTCATGATTCGATGTGACTGGAAGCATGGTGATGCTGTCATTTTCAGGAAGTCATCTTTGGAAGACACTAGTTTCACATCAAATCTTTTACTGAGATTCTCCATAGTCTTTCCGTAGATGGAGTTGTTCATTAGCTTGAAGAAGTTTTTCTCGAATGTGGTTTTAGCCTTTGCTCTCATACTGGTATTAAAGTCTATGTAATCCTTAAGCCAGGGAGACTGCTTAAACGTAACAGCTCTGTGAACCTTTGTTAACCGCATTCCAAGATCTGTGTAAAATTTCAGATTACGTACATGTAAGACGTACTTTTTCCTCCAACAGTTAGTTGGAATTTATCAGCAATAGTCTTCGCGTAATCCGATAACATAGAAGCATCAATTTCCTTACTCTCTGGCGCTAGAGGATAACCGTTATGTAGATTGTGAAGTTCCTGTGGGTATTCTAGGTCAACCTCTAAAACCATTCCCCTTTCGCCATTTTCCAGGTACTTATCCAGATCCAGCTCATCAAACTCCTCAACCCACTCAAACTCTCCATTAGGCAGTGGTTGTGACATTGCCCAGCCATAAAGATTATTTGCATCGAGGTACATCAGATACTTATTTTCAGATTCCTCATCATACGTTTCCATGTACTTGTTATTAGCTGTTGATAGTCTGTGGGCAATGTAGCTTGTACCACCCCTCATACCCTTCTCGAAGAACTGGAACATATCCATATCACTAACGAGTTCAATTTCTTCACCTGACTTTTTCAGGAAAGCGTCCCAACTTAGACTGGTTGCTGACACGTAATGTGCTGGGTCAAGTTCGTAACTTTCCAGACATGTTCTCCTGAAGTTCTCGAATACATCAGCTAGTAGAAGAACGTCAGTTTCCAGGTAGAGATCATGGTAGTCTCTCATGGTTTTCATCTTAAAGTGATCCCATACTTTCTGAGCTCTCTGGTAATCTTCGCCCTTCACCTCTGACTCATACAGTGACGAGTAGAACATATCCTTACTAGGCAGACCCTTCGTATCAAGTTTGCTAATATCATCTAGGAACTCGTATGGGAACACCCCTTTTTGTGTCACCAGATTTAAGTCCTCACCCTTCCACCTCTTACCTACTATCCTGAAGTCCTCAGGTGAAAGTTTACTTACCAGTGCTTCCAGTGAAGAAGCCATGAACTGTATAGAGTCTATGAAGACCAGATTCTTACCCAGTGAGAATGAGATGTATTTTTCCATATTATTTGGAATCACGTTGACGTTCATCTTGAACTTACCAATTTCCTGCATAATCAGATGGCTATCGTAACCTCTCAGGTTGTGGAAGACCACTGGCACTTTCCATGTGATTCTGTACTTCAGGTTGCATATATTATGAGCAGCTCCACGGTACATTCCTGTTACATGGTCATGGTCTGTTACACGGTCCTCACAAAGATCATTACCACATATGGAGCAGTTTCTTGCAGCCAGGAATTCTGCTTCCTGTTCTGGTGTAATTACCATCTTTTTCTTAAATATATTGTCGATCATCTCTCTACACCTGAAGGACTCTTTCAATACAGTCTTTAGGAAGACCAATGCAGCATCCTCTCCAACGTAACTCTTATACTCACCGGAGTACTTATCATCGTAGTGGCAGACTGTTTTTAAACCAAAGCTACAGGCCTTGTGTGTCTGGTAACGGGTTGTGCTACTTTCGTCCTCACTACTTTTCACCTTACTGTTTTCGTCTTCAGGTACCAGTATGGACTCGAAATCAGCGTATATTACAAACGGCACCGGCATTGAGTTCCTATGATTTTTGAACTTTATTTTTGTCCCTTCTTTGGGAAGTTTTGTAGCTTGAGTTCCATTTACCTGCAAACATGTTTCCCTGTGCTTTTCCAGTGTCTCCTTACTAACACAACTATGAAGGCAGTGTAGACAGAAGTGTTGCTTATGACCATGTTTACTCACACTGCACAGCATTCTATTCACATCCTTTATAAGAACATAGTATCTGTTTCCGTTATCATCCCCTAGAAGTAAAAGTTTCATATGTTCCCCATACTTAGTCTTTGAGATCCTTATTGGGTAGAACTGCTTTTTGCCCTTATAACCAAACACTGATATGCTTATGCTGTTTTTCGTCTCAATCTTATCAATATCACTAATCTTCACCGGGAACTCTATACCCTCATAGTCTAGGTTTTCCTTGAACTTTCTATCTTCCTTGGTAATAGTAGTTGCTCTTCTGGTCTTAGGGTTTAGGTACCTCACATGACTCCACATAAAGCACATGTTATCATCGTTTTTCATATTGATAAGCCCACACATTGAATTACTGATGTCAGCAGGTAGTTTCATGTACGAACTTCCAGCTAGTGGTTTGTACATCGCAATGTTCACATAATGACTCTCAATATTGAGTATAATCCAGTTTGAACCCAGGTTTTGGAATGTCTCAATTCTGGACAAGATTGTCAGTTGGTTCTGAGCAGCTGTACTTTCGATATCCTCGAAGTTCGTAACAGTGCCAGTTTTAGACTTGAAGTATATTGAGCCCTTCTTCGTTTTCCCGTCGCCAATTTCCTTGGACATTCTCACCTTTATGGTTTCCGTGTACTTCAACCCACCCATTCTCTTTAACTCGTTCACAAGTATTCCTCTCACTACCTGTCTACTTGCAGTCATCTGATCCAGAGGGTCCATATAATGAGGAGTTATTGAGTAAGTCACAGCGGCTCCATTGGCAGCTGTTTCTATTTTCCTGTGGTATGGCTTTTTGAGGTCTGTTCCAAATGGGTCTATTTCGTGTTGCTCTGGGTCAACCACCATAGTCCGCTCCTTAGCTTCCCTCGATACTTTCGCGGGTTTGCGGGCTTTAGGAGGAGACACTGGTTTCTTAGTCCTGGGTGCTGGTACGGGTCTTTCCTTAGGAAGCTTAGTCCTAGGTTTAGGTGTTGGTTTTTCCCTAGGAAGCTTAGTCCTAGACTTAGGTGTTGGTCTCCATGGAGCTACACCCTTAGGCACCTCAGGAGCTTTCCTTACAGGTTTCTTGTTAAGATCAACTGTGATTGTGAACTTACCTGGACCCACTGAGGTTATGACGATATCCGCTGGCACTGAGAGTTTTACTTTCCTCTGACTCAGGAATCTTTCAGCTACTGTTTGTCTTTTTGGTTTGACTTCAGTCTTTACCTTTGGTGGTCTGCCTCTTTTCTTGGGCACCTTTACTTCAGCATCTGTTTTTACCTTTGGTGGTCTGCCTCTTTTCTTGGGCACCTTTACTTCAGCATCTGTTTTTGCTTTTGGTGGTCTACCTCTAGGACGCTTTACCTTAGGATTTCTCTCGTTTTCTATTCTCTTAATTTCCTCGTTAACAAGAACGTTGTCTGTGCGCCACTTACCTGCCATGGTTGGTGGTAGTCCCTGGATTCCTTTAGACAGCAGGCTCTGATATGCTTCCTCTACGAGTAACGCCTTAGCCTTTTGCCTCTCAGAGTACTTCCACACAGGAGTAATTCCGCGTTTACCCTTATAGTTCTTAGGTATACGCCTGGGCTTTGGTCTTAATACATCAGGATCTACTCCATCAACAAATTGTGGTTCACTATAGAAGTAATCCTCTCCCCTATCCTTAGGTTGTACTCGATACTCACGATCTTCGAGAACTTTCTGTGCACTCACTTCGAGGTCAGTGTCACTGTCTATTAGGTCGTTCATAGCAAGTAATTGTTCAACGCTCATGTTATTAAGTTCTGACATATTTTCTAACTTTCCTATATACTATATGTGTAAAAAAAAATAAGGTATTTAATTAATAATTAATTTCGAATTTATTTTTGATTTAATTTATTGTTTAATTCTATTGATTTATTATATTAGTATTTCTTTAAGTGTTTTTATTTTCGATTTAATTTATTGTTTAATTCTATTGATTTATTATATTAGTATTTCTTTAAGTGTTTTTATTTTCGATTTAATTTATTGTTTAATTCTATTGATTTATTATATTAGTATTTCTTTAAGTGTTTTTATTTTCGATTTAATTTATTGTTTAATTCTATTGATTTATTATATTAGTATTTCTTTAAGTGTTTTTATTTTCGATTTAATTTATTGTTTAATTCTATTGATTTATTATATTAGTATTTCTTTAAGTGTTTTTATTTTCGATTTAATTTATTGTTTAATTCTATTGATTTATTATATTAGTATTTCTTTAAGTGTTTTTATTTTCGATTTAATTTATTGTTTAATTCTATTGATTTATTATATTAGTATTTCTTTAAGTGTTTTTATTTTCGATTTAATTTATTGTTTAATTCTATTGATTTATTATATTAGTATTTCTTTAAGTGTTTTTATTTTCGATTTAATTTATTGTTTAATTCTATTGATTTATTATATTAGTATTTCTTTAAGTGTTTTTATTTTCGATTTAATTTATTGTTTAATTCTATTGATTTATTATATTAGTATTTCTTTAAGTGTTTTTATTTTCG